TGTGCAACATTGCCTCGTCTGGCACTGTAACACGCTCTGTAACGTACTCACAGTCATGCCTTTAACCGTACTGTACTCTCTGGCGCTATGGAACGTTGAAGACCATCCTCTCCCACAGACCACAGCATCCGCTGACGTTTCACACTTTGAGCATCATTGCGTCATAAGTAAGATAAGATACGCTTAGTGATATGAGAAGCACATGAAGCTCGTAACTTACGTGTTCTTACGACCTACTTAAACCAACTTGTATCATCAGATGAATCATCATCTGACGAAGGCCAGATATGGCCCGAATGTTGTCCAAATACTATTTATTTTTGTGTTGATCAGGTTGAGCCAATGAACATTTTCAGCTAATTAATAAGGCCATTTACTGTGGATAGTTAGTCCCCTTCACATACTTGCCAGCTGCTCTAATAGACTTTGTCGTTACAAGTTCAAGTAAGTTTATTGAGATAATAAATTACATCCCAGAAGGATAGAGTAGCTTTATACTATCCTTACTAGAGTCTTGTTCATCCTGTTCGTATCGTGATATATATATATTTTTCTCACAGATGAAATATTTACCATCTCTAAATAATCTCAACATTAACCAAATTCAGGAAAATATTATTAAAGTTTTCACAAGGTTTACCGGAATTAACTATATGGCGAGGAGTTCAAACAACTTCTGGGAGAAGCAAGATACAGAAATAATAATAACCAGACCAGAAATGGTTGGGCATGTTTCCTTTCCCTTAATGCTTCTGTTCACCTAGCAGTGTTGGGGTATTCCTAATCGTCTTGTTAACCCGGTTAACCTCTAATATGGTTCGATTAGGGAGAAGGTTGAAGGGTCGTCGAGGTCAAGTCGGCGTCGGCCGAAGTGGACCTTCCAAAGCGTTGTCTCAACTAATACGTCTTATTCTGCACGTTATGGTCTCCAACGACACATTACAAAGTACTCTGAAAAGAGGTTCACATATCCACGTCGGCAGGTTAGGTTGGGTGGGTTGCTTGGGTTGATACGTTTTATGGTTAGGTTAGCACCTTGTATTATGTACGTTGTGATAAATCAAGAGTCTCCCAAGAACACAGCCGGATACTGAACAGTAGAATTAGGGGGCACGACTGCTGGCCAGATGGTCCTCACTAGTTTAAACCTACCCCTGCCACCCATTCCTATCACAGGCACCACTCCTGTGCCGGGTAAGTTCACTACGGGCTCACCATAGCCCGTGCTACTCGGAACTTGTTCCGAGTAGCTGAATCTATAACAACAACAACAACAACCATACCTATTCCACCTATTCCTGAAACCTGCTAACCCGTCAACAACGCTACCAGCTTGCCTAATCCAAAACCTCACCTGACCTCACCTGACCTCACCTGATGTCACCTGACCTCACCTTGGTACGGTGTTTGAACCCTTATCACAGCCCTTGTAGATGTGTTCATCTGTGTATTCACCTTTGTTGACCCCGACAGTTACGCAAATTACCGGTGAACAAAGCACATGTTAAAATAATTCCAAATACTCATCAGTGTATGATACATCGCTCAAGTATTTATTGCTAATATACCTATTATTAAGGTCAAAAATTTCCTTGCATTCTTCACAGTCCGCTCAACACCAAACACTTTACCCGTCGATGTGGGAATTGAAATTGAAATAAGTTTATTGAGGTAAAATACACACAAAGGGATGAGGTAGCTCAAGCTATTCTCACCCCGTGCAGTACAACGTGTTAATACATACATAGACACACATCACACAGATGTGGGAGAGATGGTGGTCTTGGCTAGCCATAATATCGCCATGTAAGCCATTTTGGGCGGCGTCCCTGGTGCAGTAACATGGAAGCTGCAGTCATGCTTCTCTGGTTATGTTACCTCACTCAAGGCCGACTTGAGTGGTTAGCACGGTGAGGGGGTGGTGGTGTTAGTTAGTCTGGTGAGGGTGGTGGTGGTTGGTTAGCCCGGTGAGGGTGGTGGTGGTGTTGGTTAGTCTGGTGAGGGTGGTGGTGGTTGGTTAGCCCGGTGAGAGGGGTGGTGGTGGTTGGTTAGCCTGGTGAGGGGTGGTGGTGGTTGGTTAGTCTGGTGAGGGGTGGTGGTGGTGGTTGGTTAGCCCGGTGAGGGGTGGTGGTGGTTGGTTAGCCCGGTGAGGGTGTTGGTGGTGTTGGTTAGTCCGGTGAGGGGTGGTGGTGGTGTTTGGTTAGCCTGGTGAGGGGTGGTGTTTGGTTAGACTGATGAGGATGGTGGTGGTTAGTTAGCCTGGTGAGGGGTGGTGGTTGGTTAGCCTGGTGAGGGGTGGTGGTGGTGGTTAGTTAGCCTGGTGAGGGGTGGTGGTGGGGGTTGGTTAGCCTGGTGAGGGGTGGTGGTGGGGGTTGGTTAGCCTGGTGAGGGGTGGTGGTGGGGGTTGGTTAGCCTGGTGAGGGGTGGTGGTGGGGGTTGGTTAGCCTGGTGAGGGTGGTGGTGGGGGTTGATTAGCCTGGTGAGGGGTGGTGGTGGGGGTTGGTTAGCCTGGTGAGGGTGGTGGTGGTGTTTGGTTAGTCTGGTGAGGGTGGTGGTGGTGTTTGGTTAGTCTGGTGAGGGGTGGTGGTGGTGTTTGGTTAGTCTGGTGAGGGGTGGTGGTGGTGTTTGGTTAGCCTGGTGAGGGTGGTGGTGGGGGTTGGTTAGCCTGGTGAGGGTGGTGGTGGTGTTGGTTAGTCTGGTGAGGGTGGTGGTGGTGTTTGGTTAGTCTGGTGAGGGTGGTGGTGGTGGTTGGTTAGTCTGGTGAGGGTGGTGGTGGTGTTTGGTTAGTCTGGTGAGGGGTGGTGGTGGTGTTTGGTTAGTCTGGTGAGGGGTGGTGGTGGTGTTCGACTAGTATGGCCGACAGCGGTGTTCAAGTGGTCATCTTTTATGGATCTATACCAACTATTTTATGTCAAAGGTTATTTATGATGAACAAACGGAATGCAGCGAGTCTCTTGTATCTGCAGTATCTATATCTATAGTATCTATCTGTACAAATGCAGATGTACCTAATGTATTAATAATAAAAAAAACTTCATAAGCGCCAGCATTAGTGGTGTTGAAACCCATGCATGGCTGGAGTCGGATGCTGCGAGTCACTGACGTTTATAATGTGCGGTCTCTCTACCTCTCGTCCATGTTCGGTTGATGCTCAAAGACCCATAGACACCAAGATATTCCTAAACCAAAGATCACATGCACTAAAAAAAAAATCTTACCATCAACGGGTTATTCAGCCCCATGCCACATCTTTAGATTAATCTTAATGAGTTTCTCGAGAATACATTTTCAAAACCTTATTTACTTCCCCATTATTAAGCATGTTTCATTGGTTCAGTTATTAACGATTATTTCTTGAGTACAAGAGCTCATAGATTCGCTTTACAATCTGAAATATTCACTTCTAAGATGTTTAGCACCTGGCACCTGGAGTGGAAAAGATTACGATATTATATAGGCCTTGACAAGGCCTAAGATGCTGTTCATCACGAGACGAACAGCATCTTATCTATCGATAAGATACAAGGGGGGGGGGGAGGGGGAAGATATCTGAAATTGGATTACAGCTTGATATCTGAGAGGAAGCAGTCAGCATTAATGAACTTCTTGGCTCGAAGTTGAATATCTTTCACTTTGTAAATATCTATTTACACTGTCCCGGTACACTGTCCCGGTACACTGTCCCGGTCCACTGTCCCAGTACACGACCCCGGTACACTGTCCCGGTACACTGTCCCGGTACACGACCCCGGTACACTGTCCCGGTACACTACTTGCCTTTCAAATCACCATAATTTCCATTCTCTTTTTATTAGTTAGTAATGATAAAAGTCATTAATATAGATAAGCAATTGTTTAGTAGGCAAGTAATTATCATTTTACTTTTATTAGCCGATAAGTATTTTGGACCTAGGAGTTTAATTCGTAATGGATTTATATAAATTCGTAACTGATTTATACAAATTCGTAACTGATTTATTTATACAAATTTGTAACTGATTTATTTATACAAATTCGTAACTGATTTATTTATACAAATTCGTAACATTTATTTATACAAATTCGTAACTGATTTATACAAATTCGTAACTGATTTATACAAATTCGTAACTGATTTATACAAATTCGTAACTGAGTTATACAAATCATTAAGTTGTGAAGGAGTGAACATGTTCAACAATAAAAGCTTATAGGGTAGCCTACAATTAGAGCGATAATAACAAGCACATTGCATAAAATTAGAATGATACGTACATTCTAATTTTAGAATGCAAATTCTAAAATTAGAGTTTTAAAATAACGGGGGCGTATGAAACAAGGATAGTGGGATGCAGGTAAACGGAACATCACAGATATATAATTTAATTGCCTGTTCAATTTGATGAAATTTTTAAGCACTTTTACTCAACTATTTATCATAACAGATGTGAACTAATGTGTCAACACTAATTGTTGGTGAAGTTAGGGAACAAAATAGTTGGTCTCTGTGGATTGCTGAAGATGTCGGCCCTATCATGATTCTAATGCAAAAGGTCGTTTGGGCGTGTATGATTCTGTCTATCTTTAGGTTATCTTGAGATGATTTCGGGGCTTTTTAGTGTCCCCGCGGCCCGGTCCTCGACCAGGCCTCCACCCCCAGAAAGCAGCCCGTGACTAACTAACAGCTGACTAACTCCCAGGTACCTATTTACTGCTAGGTAACAGGGGCATTCAGGGTGAAAGAAACTTTGCCCATTTGTTTCGGCCTCGTGCGGGAATCGAACCCGCGCCACAGAATTACGAGTCCTGCGCGCTATCCACCAGGCTACGAGGCCCCTCTAATATGATGGGAAGCTCGAGAATCATTAACATGCGAGTATGTTAATGATTCCTGAGCGTCTTAGGGAACCATGAATACACCCTTGAATTCCTTCATTTATTACCTGTACGATGCACGCCCTAAAGAAAAATTTATCGTATTACATTTTAAGTGTGGATGTGACAATGTTATTTGTTTACAGGAGCGAGGATGCCGTCCATTGGCGCTGGCAGTGTGGATATTCGCTCCATCTTGGGGAGTGTTCTAAACGCTATCAAGACCAGAGCCAACCAGATATGTGCTGCCACCTGCGACGGTCTGGTGCTGAGGATGCACTACCGCTGGACCTTCTGTCTCCTGCTGGGGGGCTTCCTTACCGTCTGGTACTCCTGGTAAGTCTTTCTCACTGTCTGGTACTCCTGGTAAGTCTTTCTTACTGTTTGGTACTCCTGGGAAGTCTTCCTTAACGTCTGGTACTCCTGGTAAGTCTTTCTCACTGTTTGGTACTCCTGGCAAGTCTTCCTTAACGTCTGGTACTCCTGGTAAGTCTTTCTCACTGTCTGGTACTCCTGGCAAGTCTTCCTTAACGTCTGGTACTCCTGGTAAGTCTTTCTCACTGTCTGGTACTCCTGGCAAGTCTTCCTTAACGTCTGGTACTCCTGGTAAGTCTTCTTCACCGCCCACCTTCTTCAGGAGATGAATTCTTCCCATTGATTCATTACCAGTTGTTCCTCATCCACTTTATCTTTTTTAGGTATTATGCATTTTATTCGCACACTCCCTGTTGCATACTGTTCATTAACACCTATCACTCATTACCTCATACTCTGGCTCACTCACTGTACCTGATACTCTGGTCCACTCACTGTACCTCATACTCTGGCCCACTCACTATACCTCATACTCTGGCCCACTCACTATACCTCATACTCTGGCCCACTCACTATACCTCATACTCTGGCCCACTCACTATACCTCATACTCTGGCCCACTCACTATACCTCATACTCTGGCCCACTCACTATACCTCATACTCTGGCCCACTCACTATACCTCATACTCTGGCCCACTCACTATACCTCATACTCTGGCCCACTCACTATACCTCATACTCTGGCCCACTCACTATACCTCATACTATCGCTCACTCACCGTTGGAAATGTGGTAATTATTGTGCTTAAATGAAATGTATGTATTACTGGGTTGCTTTATGTTATCATATAACTCTTTATTAGCACCTTTATTATTTATTTAGGTTAAATTTAAACAGCTGAGTGGCTATGGAGGAATCTTCTTCACTTAAACTTGATTCCAAAATTCTGATTCTTGTTATTGGTCACTCATGTGACCAATGACAAGATGACCCACTCACTCAGGTCACAATGACAAGTGGTCCCACTCATGAGGCTGGACCTCATGAGTGGGTGGTCCCACTGGCTGGTCCCACTCATGGGACCAAACAGTTGATGGTGCTCCACGCAAATATGGGACGCGGGGAACAATTTAGACCTCTACAATTCGGCCAAATCACTTCAGGCCAGAATATTATTCCGATATCAAATCTAACTTCAACTGTCAACAACCACTGGACAATACGAGTCCAACAGTTATATAAATCATTAGTGTATACTAATTGGGTGATTAAAAGGACGGAAGCTTTGGCTAGGAATCTAGTTGTGGTTCAATCAGGTCCCAGTGTGGCCGCAAAATACAATCATGGATACACATGATTGTATCTTGCTTAGCTAAATGATTTGTGGGTTTGAGTCTCTGAACCCATTATGTGCCTCTGTAACCCTTTCCACTACCGCCCACAAGATGGGTATGGGGTGCATAATAATTTAACTAAACTCTTAACACATGTCCAGTCTCTAGTGGGCGACACGTTTGTCTCCACAACCATTCATGCCGACGAGGTAGCCCTAATATTCACATGAAAGGAACACGTTTAATTATTTAACACTTGTTTGCATGTGATGCTTAATAAAGATCTAAAGTAAGCTTACCTTCGGAATAGTGGTTGGCATAACCACACTCAACCTGCACCTCCTAACAACTACTCGTGTACACTTATACTTGGTCAAACTACTGCACAACAGGAGAGTACGAGGTGTTACGTAACGTTCCCGTTAGTGTGAGGCAAAGAAATCGACCCGACATGATCTTTTGAGAATGTCTTATTAATTTAACAGCGCTGTAATATTGGATTGGCCGAGCAGGACGGGTTGAAATTGAAATTGAAATAAGTTTATTGAGGTAAAATACACACAAAGGGATGAAGTAGCTCAAGCTATTCTCACCCCGTTCAGTACATCGTGTTAATACATACATAGACACACATCACAAACAATAAACATATTACCAAACATTCTGAGAGATAAACATATACATTTCCTCCTTTACACAAGTAGTATGGTATCAGACGTACACACAAATACTTTTATGACCTAGGTATACTGTACAGACAAACTTTCCTCTTCTACGCAGTTATTCGCATTAATTTTATTTACGTAAATTTAACGGATTATTTTAATTTTCATCTGTTTTTCTTATATCCTTCCTGTTGGACTATGACTGAATGTATAAAGTGTATATTAGAATATATCTGTAATGTTGGAAATTTGAAGCTTTATACAATTATCGCTAAAATTAGGTCATTGGATTGTTTCCAGCGTTGGTTAGACAAATTTGTGTAATAGGATTTAAATAGGAGCTGTCTTACATGGACCAGTACTAGGCCTACTGCTGTTATTTGCATTCAGATGCTATGTTTATTCCTTTGCAAGTCACTACATCTTGTCTTGTGTCAACAGGTATCATCGCGACGTCATCACCTGCGTGTCGCACTTCAACGCTGAGACACAAGTCCGTCTCGACTACATCAACATCTGCCTCTCTTACCCTTATGTAGAAGAGAATGGCTCCAGGAGGTATTTACTCTTCTACCGCTGGATATCTTGGTCGCTCCTCGTCTTAGCTGGAGTATATTACATCCCACGAAAGGTATCCAAGAACTTCGACAACGCGAGGTGTAAGAAACTGCTGGAAGACCTTGCTGCCAACGCTCACAGATATGACCAAGCAGAGAGAGAGTTGGTGGAGAGAGCAGCAAGATATATCATCTTTAACCTCAAGACTCACAACGGCCTCTACTGGAAATATCTCGGAGTCAATGTCTTAGCGTTAGTTGTTGACCTTTTTGCTATGCAGTACATGGACTTCATTCTTCAGGGACGGTTTATTGCATATGGTTTCATGTCCTACCCATTCGACAGAGATCCACAGAAATTCACAGATTACATGTCTCAAACATTCCCTCCATTTGCCTCTTGCGAACTTTCTGTCGAGAACCAGTTGGTAAACAAACGTACTGAGAAGTTCGGTTGTCACCTCACCATCATGGAGCTGTACGAGAAGGTGTTCTTGTCCCTGTGGTTGTGGTTGATCGTCCTGACCTTCATCACCTGCTGCTACATCATCTTCCTCCTCTGCATGTGGCTTCCATGCCTGCGAGTTTACCTGCTACGCACTGCCAAGCCTATCCATGCCAGCGAGAACGTTCGAAAGATTGTACATGAAGTGGCGCAAAACTGCAAAATTGGCGACATTTATCTTCTGTATCGTATCAAGGGCCACCTCAGTCATGCCAGATTCTACGAGCTGATGACAAGATTGGCAGATCCTTCTTTGTTCAATAAGCAGATTCAGCAGGGCCCACCTGGAGTACTTCCAGATGGCAAGGAAAAGATGCCACCAAATAAGCAGGCCGATACCCTGAGGAATCGTCGTCCAAACATGCCCCAAGACCCACCAGTGAATCCTGAGTACCTGCATCAGCTCCTGGCTGGCAACCCGGAGATGATGGGCAGACACCCACAGCATCCTGACCAGCGTACCCCATTATTAAAGAAAAACACCAGCATTCTAATTGAATAGTCATATGATCTACAAGTCGTCACTGATATGCTACGGTTGTCATGGGGTTTAATGTCATATGACAATCTGAGTGCCAGGGTTGGCGTTGTCCCACAGGTGACTCCTGGACCTTGAGGTGTTATGCCATACCCCTGGAAACTTGTGCTACAGTCCAGTGAAGCTTGAAACGTGTGATCTGGTGATTATCTCTTGTGTTTCACCGTCTGACGTTCTGATATCACTGTGCGTAAAAGGGATAGTGATGCTGAGCCTTGTTGCTCGCTTTTTAAATAATGTAGGTAATAAATTTGTTGACAATTTATACACAAAATCTGCCTAAATGGCCCGCTGCCCTCTCCCAAGTGCTGCTAAGTATCTCTCTGTATTAAACGCGTTTGAACATCAAGATACCACCAGCACATACTACCCTTCAGGTGGTGACGGGGGCGATCGTCTCCCTCTCAGCTACAGACATTCAAGAATAACTGTGTTTCAAAATAGAACAATCAAGAGGATTATGTTCTCATTTCATTTCTCTTATGACTCAGTACTTGGTACACGAAACAAAAAAATAAATTTTCTCATTGCTTCCATTACAGCACTTTTATGTATTATTATTGTTGGCAAGAAATTTTGTAACTGTAAATCATCATTAGATTTCAAATGTAATCACTTATGTTTAAAAGTTAATTTTCTGGTAAGTTTGGAAAAGAAGAATAAAAAAGATCTTATCATGAACCATTTACGGCGAACTTTATGTTCACTGTTTAACTTCTTTGTAAGTTATTTATTACAGTACATGTGTTAGAGGTGGTGAATCGATGCGAGTTGGAACGCACATTCGCGTGAGCCAAGTTGTCTCACCTTGCAGGCATTAAGTGATAAATTGTACAATCAGCCAATTTGGGAAGCTTCTGCGACGGCTTCCAGCAGGAGGCTACTCCTGAAGAGTGTGTGGGGGGGATGAAGTCGTCAGTGATCCTAGCACCATCCCCTGGTCAGTTATCATAGCACCTTCCCCCTTGTCAGTAGTCCTAGCACCATCCCCTTGTCAGTTATCCTAGCACCATCCCCTTGTCAGTGATCCTAGCACCATCCCCTTGTCAGTTATCCTAGCACCATCCCCTTGTCAGTTATCCCAGCACCATCCCCTTGTCAGTGATCCTAGCACCATCCCCTTGTCAGTGATTCTAGCACCTTCCCCTTGTCAGTAGTCCTAGCACCTCCCTCGACTCTGCCTCCACACATTCCAGCTACATGATTGGTGGGCTTCCAGGGCCTTGCATCTTGGTCTCCTGCCATAACTGAGACGCAGTGAATCCTTTAACTTCTTGAGTTGGCGTACGATGCAGCTTCTGTTCGTTTTCTTAGAATTCTCTAGTATTTTAAAGAATTTATAAGAAAATCTTTTGCGACTGTTTCCTTTTATGAATCAGTTCAAGTTGATCACTATCTATCGCTCGTCTTTATCTCTTTTATGTCATGCTCTCTCTGCCTCTCAATCGATCTGCTTTTCTTTTTATCTCGTGTATTCAATTCATTATTAGTAATTTAAAGTAAGTAAATTTTCTGGTTATTTTGGTTAGTTTTAATCCTCAAGAGGCTTGCGTTAAAGGATGCCTTTGGCAATTGGAAATTAGTTTTCATAAGTGTTTTAAGTGCCTTAACACACTCCATCAACATCAATTATAAAGCTGTGATATTTCCACTAGGTTTAAGTGATATTTTAAAACTGGGTTCTGATGTAATTATTATTGTTCCCTTGAGCTCAGTAAATGCCAAATGTTACAGTGTGTGGCATTTCCTAACATGCACTGTTTACAGGATATAAGAAATTGTGTACTTTGTATGACTTTTAATAAATAAGACTTTTGTAACGCATCTTTTGGTTCCTCTATAATAATAATCATCCTACTGATCTTTTCATATATATATATATAAACTCTTTTATAAGCTCTTTTATGATTAATTTTAACAAGAGAGCTTTGCAAAGACAAGGGCAGCAATGCATGGCTTTCAAAAAATATATGCAGTACATAATTTAAATTGGTAGATCTACTTTTCTGAAGGATTATAGACTCTGAAGTTCATTCCACCAAGTAGTTGTGTTATATGATTAAGAGGGTATAGCAGAAACCTTATATAGAACTGCAACAGTAGAGCTTCAACTTTAGCAGGAAGCTTATGACTGGAAGATCAAGAAATATTATAAGACAGATAGGTGTTCTCAAAAGGCCAAAAGAAATGAGATTAACAATAGCTATTCTTAAGCTAAAAGGCTCACATAAACAAGAAACATTTAAAATATCGGTAATAGACTTCCGTTGTGCAATGTTTTTGCATCTCTTAACATTGTCATAATTTTACCATCTTCTCACATATATAATTTCTCATGTTTCGTTACAAATTTCATTTTCTTAAAATTCCTCTATTTTTCATATTAATGTGTGAAAACTAAATGAAGTGCCGAGTGCAATTAGCAGTCTATCTGTTAGAGGAAATTTTGTGTGTGACTTTTAAACAGCTAATTGGTACTAAATAGGGGGAGAAGATGAATGTTTAAGGAAGGGAATAACGCCGGTTTTAAAAGGAAAAACAGAACAAATGACAGGAAAAGAGAAACGAGAGTAGTGCAGTATATATTAAAAATGTTTTGACAAGGGAATGAGCATAACGACACACTAAAGTTAACTGAACTACACGAACAGTTGGAGTATTAGTAACAAAAATGACGACTTAAACTGCACTTGGTTGCGCAGAATCAGTATATAAAATTGCTTTAACAGAAATACGGATGAAAATAGAAATACTGAACTAATTTTTGAATATGAAATACAGGGATACAAGTTATTTCACACTGGTAGACAGGTTGGATGAGGAAGGGGAGTAGCATTATATATCAGAAAAAAGCATATAATATAATGTTAAAGACTGAGTAAAAACTAAGCTATCCACTGAGACAGTTTTGATTGACTTAAACGTAACAAAATTATAGTCTTAATAAAAATCGTAATATAAAAGCTCCTGAACTTCAACAGACTGGAAGAGAGACATAGAGACATAGGTATCTAGGGTCTGACAATGTTCACATAATGGGGGGACTAGTTTTAAAGGAATAAGTCAATAAAAGAATGCAGAGGCAAAGATAATTTTATAAAAATAGTGGACAGCTGCATTCTTAAGCCATACGTTACAGATCCAACACGGGAAGACAAATATTAGAATTTGTTCCGGCTAACAGGAAACATGTTAGGGGAACAATGAGCGTAAGGAAATTAGATATAACTTGGAAAAAATGTGCAAGAGAAAACTGTAAGGGTTCCAGATTTTCACGAAGCAAATTATGCAGGATTGTTCCTCCATAATTTGTCTTCTATTTCCTCTTTCTAAAAAAAATATAATTACTCAATAAAATATCATTCCAATGGAGTGTTACAGATGGGTAACTTGTCTGTGAATTGAAATTTAGTTCAACTTATGTCCTGGAAATGAAGATCAAGAGGGGGGGGGGGGTAAACAATTTTATTGGAAATATGAAAAGCTCTATATTATCCCACGAGGAAGGTTATCTAAAACAACAATTTCTAATAATATCAAGAACGGTTAAGAAACAGAAAGGAAAGTATTATGTGCATAAAGCAAGTCAGACAAAAACTCGCCTAAAGGTTCTTCCAGATATGCCAAAGAAAGAATTGAAAAAAGATTGGGATTATGAACAAATTATTATGTTACTGATAATAAAAAAAGAAACCGGTGTCACTCTAAATAAAAAAAATTACGTATGTATACCAAAGAACCACACTATATTTTACTTATGCCGAAACTTGAGCCTACAAATCTTTGTAGGTGGAGAAGAACACAAATTCAATTTTTTAATCATTAACAGGGACAAGGTTATTAAACAGATATAAAATTATAATCCAAACAAACCCCCTGGAACCAGAGAAATTCTTTGCCAGGGTCAGAAAATAATTGAATTATGATCTAGATGAGTCCATCACCTTCATGTTTAATAACTCACTGGAGTCGAGTAAAGTACCAGAGGGTAGAAAGAAACTAAGCTACTCTTATCCTTTTGAAATGTATCTAATTGGCTCAATACAACGTACTTGAACTTGAATAAGGACCAGAGTCGTGGAGGGTTGCTAAGGTGGTTCCGATTTTTTTAGAAGGGAGATAGCTAGATCACTTGTGTCGAACTATTGGCCAATTAGCTAGCTGTCTATTGTGGGAAAATTGCTTTATTTGATAATCACAAAAATCTACATCATGAAAAACATAGATTAATAAGTGATTCAAAACAAGGTTTTACTAAGGGCTGCTCATATTCGACAAATTTGCTTTCATTTTATTTCTGCATATTTAATGCTGTTGACAGTGAAAAGGATTCACTGTCAACGTGACAAGCAAAGCTTTTAATACAGTGCCTCAAGAAAGACTGCTTAGAAAGGTATTTCTTGAGGCACAACTCACTGTACTGGGATTAAGACCAAGCTGTAGCTGAAGTCAAGGCACCTCTGACCAGTTACCGGTTCTATCAAAATAGCTTACTGACCACCCAGCAAACAAACTTCAGTCTTAAACATAGCTTAGGACTAAAATAAACTTCTCAGAGCATATACACTGAGAAGCAGGATACACCTCTCAGTGTGTATATATATCTCATTCTCTCAGCAGGTTGGCTGTCACCTTGTAGGGCTGAGGGACCTATAGTTGGACCTTAACCCCTTGTTCCAGTTAATCTTCAAAGGAGGAGGGTGTAGTTGCTCTCGACTCACGTGGAACAAGTCATGAGGTGTTGTAGTGTCTTAGAAGATCACTACGTTTTAAACTTGTTGGTATTTTTTAATAAAAAGACTAATTTATATAAATCATTAATATCTCAATTTAATTAAATAATATTTCTACTATAATTAAATAACGAATTTACGACTGATCAATCACAAGCTTATCAATACTAAATAACAAATAAACACAGTAATCCTGGATACAGAATCTGTTACAGACATATATAGATCATTCCACGTGAGAACATATAAAACCCATTCCATGTGAGAACATATAAAACCCATTCCATGTGAGAACATATATAACTCATTCCATGTGAGAACATATATAACCCATTCCATGCGAGAACATATATAGCCCATTCCATGTGAAAACATATATAGCCCATTCCATGTGAGAACATATATAGCCCATTCCATGTGAGAACATATATAGCCCATTCCATGTGAGAACATATATAGCCCATTCCACGTGAGAACATATAGAGCCCATTCCATGTGAGAACATATATAGCCCATTCCTGTGAGAACATATCAAACCCTATGCTACTTTACCCACCTTCCAGAGACTATTTTTACTTCAGAACTTGATGCAATTTTGTGTGATCTGAGGCAGTTACTTTCCACGTACCAACGATTGATCTTGTAGTCGACTTTTGAAGTTCATGGCCTTAGAGTCTTTTAAACCCTTCTCATTCTGCAGTGATGGAAACTCAACATTGGTTGTATCTCTTTTATAGCAGGAACAAGACAGGAGAGTTTTCCTGGGTTCCCAGACATATTGGTGTGGCCTCCTGTTTGACACTGATGAGATAGATCAACTCGTGGGCACTTGTGAAGTCAGAAACCTGCATTTTATTATCAGAACTGCCTTGTTCCACTAACAAGATGATCACCTCTGTTTCTCTGAGTCATGTCCCTCAATAAAGTCCTGTGAATATGCCTCTTTTGGTATTACTATGTCCTGTTGACCAGACCACACACTAGAAATTGAAGGGACGACGACGTTTCGGTCCGTCCTGGACCATTCTCAAGTCTCAATCGACTTGAGAATGGTCCAGGACGGACCGAAACGTCGTCGTCCCTTCAATTTCTAGTGTGTGGTCTGGTCAACATACTTCAGCCACGTTATTGTGACTCATCGCCTGCATACTATGTCCTGGCTCTCAAAGGGTTTCCCAGGTCGTAGTAAGCGGCCACACATACAATACCCTCGGCTCCGACTCCTCTCCCTCTCCTGGTGTTGAACTTGCGAAATTAAATACATAAGGTACCCATTCGAGTCATTGGACCGTCTGCTGGAGGGTCGCCCATGAAGCGCTGCTCTTGGAGGTAGGTTGGATGTCCTGGTTGAGCTGAAATGGAGAAATATGTCTGCACTGGTGTGAGAGTGTACGGTGAGGCAGGATTTTCTTGTTAAAATTTGGGGTCACCACTTGGGAGGACGGGTCTTTTCCTTAACCGGCTAACGCTCAGCCTCCCTTGTTGCCCAGGTAGGTGATATACCTTGGCTCCGGGAACAAACTTCTGAGAAAATTATGCATATGGAAAGTAAACCCACTTCTCAAGCACAGGTCTTGGGGTGGCGACCAGACTACAGAGTCGGACAGTAATGGAAGATCGGGCTTCGCATCCTTGGTTAAGGTCGGCCCAGTCCCGACTTCATCTTTCGTTCACCCAACTGCTCCTCTCCAATCCACTCCCACTGCCACTTCCTTGGCATGGTCGAACCCCGAGTCCCGCGCTGGTGACCACATCATCATCTGGAGTGACTCCATCATTGGTTGTTACACCTGTACCTTAATGGGGGACCAAGACGACATACTCGCCCTCAAACATACACGTTTCCCTCAACCACTGCTATATATCATGATCTGTTTGGTCTCGCTACACAGCCTAAATATTTTGATGTTTGTGATGATGTCTATACACCTGCCCTTATGATTCACATATATTTAAGCACCTTATAGACTCTTTGGATACCTATGTTACCTTTAACCTCACTCGAACTGGCACACACGTCAGTGACACCCCCTTTGCCTTCAAAAGACGCAGCTTAGAGGCTTAATCACTTTGTTCTGCATTGATGAGACCCCGATTTAAGTTTCAAAAATTGTCCAGTTAAATGCCAGCACCGGCACAGTCATTCTCTCTCACCATGTGATTGGGGACAGGGGACTTAAAGACGACCATGAGGATATTAAGAATTAGCTCGAGGCCCAAAATTATCCTATGCTGCAGGTTGATTAATTTACTCGACCCCCCTCGTGGTTGTCGTTGTCAACCCCTACTACCACTGTTGATAGTAGGACCCTTCAGTTTTCAGCCATTCTTGCCGTTGTCAGTTGCTCCAGTTAAGAATACATGCCCCTCTCCGCAATTGGGGGATGGTACCTATCGCCTACCTACCAATGAGGGGATGGTACCTATCACCTACCTACCAATAGGGGGATGGTACTTATATTCCAGTACCTATCGCCTGTGCAATAGGTACAGGAAATATTGGCAGGGATCCACAAAGTGCAGTAGTGAGGCGTCCTTGTGCCCTTGTGTAGTGTCCCTGGCCATTCTAAGACAGATTGTTCCTCTACCCGGGGCCTCGTAGCCTGGTGGATAGCGCGCAAGACTCGTAATTCTGTGGCGCGGGTTCGATTCCCGCACGAGGCAGAAACAAATGGGCAAAGTTTCTTTCACCCGGAATGCCCCTGTTACCTAGCAGTAAATAGGTACCTGGGAGTTAGTCAGCTGTCACAGGCTGCTTCCTGGGGGTGGAGGCCTGGTCGAGGACCGGGCCGCGGGGACACTAAAGCCCCGAAATCATCTCAAGATAACCTCAAGATAACCCGAGCTCACTGCATCAACTGTGGTGATGCCCAACGTGTGTTTTCCCGCACAAGCATGAATTATATATTGGAAAAAGCCACCCTCAACTTAAAAGATCACGATCTTATATCTTTTTCTGAGGCAAAGCACCAGGTCGGCCCTTTCCTCTTTTTCTGATATTTTGGTGATCATGCTACTGTTGTGTGAATTTGTGTGTGAGGGAGGGGGGGGGGGGGAGGGATGGTTGATGAATGATGACACATGATGTGCTCGTATATTTTTTTTTTTTTGGCCGCCATGGGTGTCTCGCTGTTGTAGCCGGAAGGGAAGGGAATTATCAGGGGAAGGCGCCAAACCAATACGACTATATAGCACTGGGAAAGGGTCAGGATAAGGATTTGGGATGGAACGGGGGGGGGGTAGGAAGGAATGGTGCCCAACCACTTGTGGACGGTCGGGGATTGAACGCCGACTTGCATGAAGAGAGACCGTCGCTCTACCGTCCACCCCAAGTGGTTGGGTTGTTGTAGCCGGAGACAGCGGCTACTGGTCGGGTCAGTAGCGCACGGCGGCACACTGACCGGAGTGTCAGTGCTGGCGTAGCTGGATGGCTTTCAAATCCAAGGATTCCATCACAATGGTTGTACTCTTCAAGTCACTTTTGTTGTCCTATCTTGAGTACTGCTCAGTACTCACTTCCCCCTTCAGAGCAGGAGAGATTGCTGAAATATAGGGAATATAGAGAACATATACGGCACGCATAGACGCGATAAAGCACCTAAATTATTGGGATCGTCTCAAAGCCCTCCAAATGTACTCACTAGAAAGAAGACGAGAGAGATTTCAAATAATATACACCTGGAAGATACTGGAGGGCCAAGTACCAAATCTACACAGTAAAATAACAACGTACTGGAGTGAACGATATGGAAGAAAATGCAGAATAGAACCAGTGAAGAGCAGAGGTGCCATAGGCACAATCAGAGAACACTGTATAAACATCAGAGGTCCGCGGTTGTTCAACGTCCTCCCAGCAAGCATAAGAAATATTGCCGGAACAACCGTAGACATCTTCAAGAGGAAACTAGATTTATTCCTCCAAGGAGTGCCGGACCAACCGGGCTGTGGTGGGTATGGCACCACAGCCCGGTGCCATACCCACCACAGCCGCTCGGGCCGCTCCAAGCAGCCTTCTGCGGGCTTCTCCAAGCAACAGCCTAGTGGACCAAACTCTCACAAGTCAAGCCTGGCCTCGGGCCGGGCTTAGCGAGTAGAAGAACTCCCAGAACCCCATCAAGCAGGTATCAACCAGGCTTGCTGATCAATCTTACGGGAGAGCAGTGCTATGGTAGTGTGATGACTCGGGGTTTGTTCACTGATTTGGACTTCAGTGTCAGTTCTTAGGTTTCAGTTCGTGGATCCTAAGTGTATAACGGAGCTGGTGGTTCCCATTGTTCTTCCTTTGGCAAGTTACTTAGAATTCTGGGCCCTTGGGTGGTTCCTGTTGTGGCTGTCTCTTCTAACCCTTTGCCGAAGAGACATCCTCCTTGTCCTGTGTGGTGGCTGGTGGTGCATTACATAACTTGTGGTGTTGTGGGCTGCAAAGGGGGCCCTCGCAGATAGGTAGGTACATCCTACCTACCTACCTACCCTGGGCTCACCTAGAAAAGGCAATCAATCAACATTTAACCCTTTGACTGAGGTTATCGTAAATTGTTGATTCACGGTAATGCGGTTATATTAAAATTTAACAAATTTGTTGCCTGGGTTTTACATGAATGATGCAAATATGGATATAAAAGCTATCTGTGGATGTACATACAGAAAAAGTGATGAAACTATCAATGAAACATCAGTGAATAAATCAGGAAGAAGCAGCAAAATTGAGCACCCAGGCATTGACAAGTGCCAGACGCGGACTTACAGAGCGTCTCCACCCAGTAAAACAATAAATACACACTTATTTTCATGTTTTTCTTATATTCTGCATACAAATTAATAATTCTATAATACATATTGTACAGCTGTTTGACAGAGAGACTGTGTAGGCGAATGTTCAGTGGTTCAATCATCAGTCTGGCATGAAGGCTGCTGGTTCGCACTCTGCCCATGATGGACACATTAGCTACAAATCGCAACACTGTTCTGAACGCTGTAGCTTCACCGCGTTGGATTTTTTGGCCAGATTAAGCGGGGTGCACAGATATTCTAAGAGTGGCCTTCATGAGCATCCTGTACAGTAGTAGTTACACGCGCGGTGGGGCCTGTTGGAAACGGTAAAGCATTGCTAGTTGCGCTTTGGCCACTACTGATTTCTCGTTTATATATTTGGTTGAATTTAGTAGCGATATTTCATACCCCAGGATTGTAGTGGGGTTCTGTACACGTTTCAATGAGTTTCCAGTGTTGATGGCTCCAAGTGAATTGGCCCAGAAGCCTATTGAACAGAACGGTATTTTATTGGGGTTTGTCAGTATTTTCCCCATTTTGTTCCCATCTTGCTGTAACGTTTGGGAGGCTTTTTACATTTTCGTTTAAAAACATTTCCCGGGAGGGAATTGTTGCCACTGGATACGTAACTGGAGTGAGTGTGAGGTGTTCACTCTTATCTCTCCCTCTCTCCCGGTGTCACCACATACCAGCAGCTCAGACGCTCAGTGCTCCTCGGGACGGGAGGACGCGCCGGAAACACCTTACCAACACCAGTAATTTAGTGAGTGAACGTTGTGTCGGATTACTGGCAATGATACTGTGCTCGCAGTGATTTTGTTATTAAGTGAGACAGCGTGAACTACGTACTTTACCATGGTGGTAAAAGTGGTCTCTGAACTCTTTATTTTTTCACCAATTATAGCACCCAAATTACCGACATACAAAGTAATAGATTTGCCCCAAGGGGGCTCCAGTCTTGACACTGTTGCGGCCCCCTCGTAACCACTTTGTCACGAACAGGGGTCATTATTAACACCATAATAACAATCTTTAATATTCTGACCGGAAAAGAGCCTCATCGGGGTCAGTAGGATTTTCATGTTGATAAGTGCATCCTTCGTCTCTCTACCATTAACTATCTGACTCAAAACTCAAATTCTATTTAGCGATGCCATGAGATTTTGCGTAGGGTAAGTTTGGCACCCTGTCATGGCACCTTTTTGGATACCAGTTGCGTATCTTTGAGATCCTTATTGTGGGTGTTCAGCGGTGTAGTGGGTAGAGTTATGGACAACCACTTATGTGGTCCTGTGTTCGAGGCTCTAAATAGCCCAAGTGAATAAAATATATTATGTGAGAGAGAAAGTCCCCTCCCCCCCCCCAAAAAAAAAATGAAAATTTTGAGGCAAATGGGTGACTTGAACCAGTGATCTGGTGATCGCTAGACTATAAGAATCCGAGTGGACTCCAGTTCATGGCCTCTACAACCTCTAAGTAGGTAGTAGACAATCGACTTGGGAATAGTCCAGGACGGACCGAAACGTCGTCGTCGCTTCACTTTCTAGTGTGTGGTCTGGTCAACATACTTCAGCCACGTTATTGTGACTCATCGCCTGCATATGAATCTCTAAGTAAATTCAATAGTTCCGAGTTGATAGGCTTTTGTCCTATCGTGGCCGAGTGAGTTAAGGCAGGCGTCTTGGGATCACCAGGATGCAGTTTTAAGTCGTCCCGTTTTTACGCCCCAAAATGATTTATCATTGAAAATTAGAATACAACCACACTACCATGGGAATAAATATTTCCTTCACCTGGGCACTAGAAAGCTCGAACCGCCGACCCCACAAGCGTGAGGCAGAAGCTCTATCGACCTAGTAGTAGTAGTAGTCAGGGAAAGTCAAGAATTCCATCTGGGCAGCGGTTAGTTGCTTCTGGAATATTTTCTTATTAAGACTACTCATAGCAAGATCGATAGAGCTTCTGCCTCACGCTCGTGTAGTCGGTGGTTCGAGTCTCCTAGTACACAGGTGACTGAAATATAATATATATCATAAATTTGTTATAAGGTGTTAAGTTGAGTAAGGGCGTGGATATATCAAAGGAAACATAGAGTTATTATAAATGGGGTTAAATCAGAGTGAGACACATTTGTAGTGTCCCCAAAGCTCCGTCCTGGGTCCTCTGTTGTTTACCAAATATACAAACGATTTAGATTTAGGAATGAGCAGCAAATTTGCAGACGATAAGAAAATCGGGAGAAGAATAAATTCCAAGGGCAGCGGTCCAAACTGGGTTTTGAATTTGTCGAAAGAGTGGCAGATGCAGTTTAATTCTGACAAACGTTGGATTCTAAAGCTATGTAATGATGTCAGAGTTTATAGCTATCAGCTAGACAGTATTTTAACTGCGAAAAAGGATCTAGGGATCACGATTAGTAAAATATTTATCCTAAAAACAGTTAATGTTTTTAGCTACAGCTACATCTTTGCTTTTGTTGGGCTCCATTTAAATTACGGAGTTTAATTTTGATTGCCATACTACGGAATGGACATAAATTCATATTAAAAGGATTGCGAAAGCTTAATTTACCTTCTCTAGACAGGTAAAGAGTTAGGGGTGACATGGCTGTAATATACTAGTCGATAAATTGGCATGACAAGTGACATATTAATAAAGTATTAAATACCTCTACACAAGATAAAACACGAAACAGTGAATAGAAATTGTACTATTTTAAATTTTGGAAAGTCCTTGGTAAAAGCTAGTGTGAAAACCAGAGTGTTTATTTAAGAACATAAGATAAGAATAAAGGTAACTGCAGAAGGCCTATTGGCCTATACGAGGCAGCTCCTATTTATAACCACCTAATCCCTCTCATATACATGTCCAACCCACGTTTGAAACAATCAAGGGACCCCACCTCCACCACTCTACGCGGTAACTGGTTCCACAAATCAACAACTCTGTTACTGAACCAGTATTTACCCAGGTCTTTCCTAAATCTAAACTTATCTAATTTATACCCATTATTTCGTGTTCTGTCATTATGTTGATACTTTTAATACCGTATTATTATCCCCTTTGTTATGTCCATTCATCCACTTGTACACCTTTATCATGTCACCCTAAGTTCTTCGCCTTTCTAGAGAATGTAATTTAGGCTTTGTCAATCTTTCTTCATATAACAAGTTTCTAATTTGAGGGATTAACAGTGTCTTTAGTTAACATTAAATTTGTGAAAACAGATATCCGGGTGACATAATAGACTTGGGTTCACTTGATTATTTCAATTGTAGGCTAGACATATATATGACTAAATTAGGATTGATATAAAGGGGACGAACCTATGCATTTTCCTTAATTTCCCTGCTTTTTAGTAAAATCTGTTAGTCCAGAAGCTTGAGGCTGGTTTCATCTAATTTAGCCCAGTTGGGTACGTTGGGTTGGGTTATTACTGTTGGGTACGTGCCCATCAGAGGCATAAAAAGTGACTCTACGCCAAACTCAACAAATCTCAACCTCAACAAATCACAATTATAATTATTATTATTTATTTTTTTGAGAGAAAGAGAGAGAAAGAGAGAGAGAGAGAGAGAGAGAGAGAGAGAGAGAGAGAGAGAGAGAGAGAGAGAGAGAGAGAGAGAGTGAGTGAGAGAAGCAGTAGTCATAAACTGTGCTAGAAAACATTTATGCCAATTAATCATTAACACAACATCAACATTGACGAGTCTCTGGGGTAAAAACGTTTTTTCTCGATTTCACAGGAAATTCATATCGGAATTTAATTGCTTTATTATCTCTGATGTTTATATAAGTTTCTTGGTTGACGCTACCTCACTGCACGTCCGAATGGCTTTGTTTTCCCTTTGGTCATGTCACCCTTGGTGATGAACGGTCATGTCTCCCCTGGTGGTAAACGGTCATATCTCCCCTGGTAGTGAACGGTCATGTCACCCCTGGTAGTGAACGGTCATGTCTCCCCTGGTGATGAACGGTCATGTCTCCCCTTGGTGGTGAACGGTCATGTCACCCCTGGTGGTGAACGGTCATGTCACCCCTGGTGGTGAACGGTCATGTCACCCCTGGTGGTGAACGGTCATGTCACCCCTGGTAGTGAACGGTCATGTCACCCCTGGTGGTGAACGGTCATGTCACCCCTGGTGGTGAACGGTCATGTCACCCCTGGTGGTGAACGGTCATGTCTCCCCTGGTGGTGAACGGTCATGTCTTCCCTGGTGGTGAACGGTCATGTCACCCCTGGTGGTGAACGGTCATGTCTCCCCTGGTGATGAACGGTCATGTCTCCCCTGGTGGTGAACGGTCATGTCACCCCTGGTGGTGAACGGTCATGTCACCCCTGGTGGTGAACGGTCATGTCTCCCCTGGTGATGAACGGTCATCTCACCCCTGGTGGTGAACGGTCTTGTCACCCCTGGTGGTGAACGGTCATGTCACCCCTGGTGGTGAACGGTCATGTCACCCCTGGTGGTGAACGGTCATGTCACCCCTGGTGGTGAACGGTCATGTCACCCCTGGTGGTGAACGGTCATGTCACCCCTGGTGGTGAACGGTCATGTCACCCCTGGTGGTGAACGGTCATGTCACCCCTGGTGGTGAACGGTCATGTCACCCCTGGTGGTGAACGGTCATGTCACCCCTGGTGGTGAACGGTCATGTCACCCCTGGTGGTGAACGGTCATGTCTCCCCTGGTGATGAACGGTCATGTCTCCCCTGGTGGTGAACGGTCATGTCTTCCCTGGTGGTGAACGATCATGTCACCCCTGGTGGTGAACGGTCATGTCTCCCCTGGTGATGAACGGTCATGTCACCCCTGGTGGTGAACGGTCATGTCACCCCTGGTGGTGAACGTATCCAGTAGAGCGTGTTATCCCGGGGATTATACCATTAACGTTCGTGCTCGCTGTCTGAACGTACGAGTCAGAGTCCGTACACGTTCATTGGTTACACGTACGGAAAAACGTTGAATAAATATACATGGTTACGTTTCACCACTGTACGTGTCCACTGGACGTCCCAGTGATGTACGTGTCCACTGGACGTCCCAGTGATGTACGTGTCCACTGGACGTCCCAGTGATGTACGTGTCCACTGGACGTCCCAGTGATGTACGTGTCCACTGGACGTTCCAGTGATGTACGTGTCCACTGGACGTCCCAGTGATGTACGTGTCCACTGGACGTCCCAGTGATGTACGTGTCCACTGAACGTCCCAGTGATGTACGTGTCCACTGATGCTCCCAGTGATGTACGTGTCCACTGGTCGTCCCAGTGATGTACGTGTCCACTGGACGTCCCAGTGATGTACGTGTCCACTGGACGTCCCAGTGATGTACGTGTCCACTGGACGTCCCAGTGATGTACGTGTCCACTGGACGTCCCAGTGATGTACGTGTCCACTGGTCGTCCCAGTGATGTACGTGTCCACTGGTCGTCCCAGTGATGTACGTGTCCACTGGTCGTCCCAGTGATGTACGTGTCCACTGAACGTCCCAGTGATGTACGTGTCCACTGAACGTCCCAGTGATGTACGTGTCCACTGATGCTCCCAGTGATGTACGTGTCCACTGGTCGTCCCATTGATGTACGTGTCCACTGGTCGTCCCAGTGATGTACGTGTCCACTGGTCGTCCCAGTGATGTACGTGTCCACTGAACGTCCCAGTGATGTACGTGTCCACTGAACGTCCCAGTGATGTACGTGTCCACTGGTGCTCCCAGTGATGTACGTGTCCACTGGACGTCCCAGTGATGTACGTGTCCACTGGACGTCCCAGTGATGTACGTGTCCATTGGACGTCCCAGTGATGTACGTGTCCACTGGACGTCCCAGTGATGTACGTGTCCACTGGACGTCCCAGTGATGTACGTGTCCACTGGTCGTCCCAGTGATGTACGTGTCCACTGGTCGTCCCAGTGATGTACGTGTCCACTGGTGCTCCCACGGATATACGTAAATTACCTAAGTGAAGTTACAGGATGAGAGCTACGCTCGTGGTGTCCCGTTTTCCCAGTACTCTTTGTCATATAACGCTCGGAAACTCCCAGGTTTGGGAGCGTTGAACGTGTCCACTAACCTGTACTACCCCTCTGTAGACTTCGTCCGCGTGACGTGTGATCAACTGGAACACTGAAGTGACTGGAACCAGCTACCAAGGTACTGACAGACGCGTACCTAACCCTGCCCCTGTATCACGACATAGTGATACAAATTGGGATTCCACTGAATCCCAGGTTGAAAAACTACTTTTCTCCACACAGTAGCAGTCTCCGTGGTGTAGTGGTAAGACACTCGCCTGGCGTTCCGCGAGCGCTATGTCATGGGTTCGTATCCTGGCCGGGGAGGATTTACTGGGCGCAATTCCTTAACTGTAGCCTCTGTTTAACGCAACAGTAAAATGTGTACTTGGATGAAAAAACGATTCTTCGCGGCAGGGGATCGTATTCCAGGGACCGTAGGATTAAGGACTTGCCCGAAACGCTACGCGTACTAGTGGCTGTACAAGAATGTAACAACTCTTGTATATATCTCAAAAAAAAAAAAAATAGTGCATGAGAGTCATATGTGACGCTTGGACTGGCTTCAGTAGGGGCCTTCAGACTTCCTGCGGATTCAGTGGAATTCCAAGTTGTATCATTTAAGATAGTGTCGTGGTACAGGAGTTAGGTGCGCAGCAAGGAGAACCTTTGATCGCTGGTTCGAATCACTTCATTGTTCCAGTTGATTTTCTTACTGATATACATCACGTTAGGGTTATTTTCTTGTATACACTTGCTACTAAAAGAATTTCTACTCGAGTATGTTGCACCCTACACACACAATGTTGACCAGACCACACACTAGAAGGTGAAGGGACGACGACGTCCCTTCACCTTCTCAAGTCGATTGCGATCTCACAATCGACTTGAGAATGGTCCAGGACGGACCGAAACGTCGTCGTCCCTTCACCTTCTAGTGTGTGGTCTGGTCAACATACTTTAGCCACGTTATTGTGACTCATCGCCTGCAACACACACAATATTTCAATTTAATGTATTTCATTTTAAGTGTTCGTTTGCGGATCAGTTTTTGACATTGACTATTTGTCTTCAGGAGCGAGGATGCCGTCCATTGGCGCGAGTGTGGATATTCGCTCCATCCTGGGGAGCATTTTTAACCTTTTCAAGACCAGAGCCAACCAGATATGTGCTGCCACCTGCGACGGTCTGGTGCTGAGGATGCACTACCGATGGACCTTCTGTCTCCTGCTGGGGGGCTTCCTCACCGTCTGGTACTCCTGGTAAGTCTTCTTCACTGTCTGGTACTGTACTCCTGGCAAGTCTTCCTTAACGTCTGGTACTCCTGGTAAGTCTTTCTCACTGTCTGGTACTCCTGGTAAGTCTTTCTCACCGTCCGGTACTCCTGGTAAGTCTTTCTCACCGTTCGGTACTCCTGGGAAGTCTTTCTCACCGTCTGGTACTCCTGGTAAGTCTTTCTCACCGTCTGGTACTCCTGGTAAGTCTTTCTCACCGTCTGGTACTCCTGGTAAGTCTTTCTCACCGTCTGGTACTCCTGGTAAGTCTTTCTCACTGCCTGGTACTCCTGGTAAGTCTTTCTCACTGCCTGGTACTCCTGGTAAGTCTTTCTCACCGTCCTACTCTTGCCCACTCACTATCTCCTACTCTTGTCCCCTCGTTATATCCTTATCTTGCCCACTCACTCTCCTCCTGGCAACTTGCAACATTTCATTTTGCCCACTCGCGTTCTACACGTATAATACATCCTGATAACATGATACATAATGCTTAATACATCCTCCTACCAACCAATTTCATCTACTTCTACTGACCTGCTTAATGCATCCACCTATCTACCGATGATCACTACTCGTATTTATCCATATTAGGACATCCTATTATATTACTATTACGCACCTCTCGGTAGCCACTCCCTGTTATCCTCTATCAAAATCACCAAGGTATATATATATATATCTGGGTGATTTTGTGCTATCACTCTGAGTTACAATGTGCGCTATCAGTGTTTCTGGAATATATTTCCCCTTGCCATTATATTTACACATTATTTTAGAGAGGTTTAAATCATTTACATTTTCTGATTACGTTGTGTTTTTGAATAGAAGTTGTGTGTTTTATTGAATGTCAGTTAAGTATTAAAGTTAATTGTACTTTTCATCAGTATTTCTTAGTTACGTGTTGTTAGGCCATATTTGAGTATATAATGTATTTGTTAGAAAATAATAGTACTAATGCATTGAAACTATGAACAGCATAAAACACTGGGTCACTAGATTGTTTCGAGTCATAGTTAGATATAAACAGGATCTACCTTGTAAGGGGCAGTGCTACTGCCCCTTACAAGCATACAATACAGATTTGTGAAATCTGTTTTCACAAATTAACAATCCGGTTTTCAAACTAGCATTTACCCTGGACTTTCCACAATCTAAACTAGTCCAATTTCTATTCACTGTTTCGTGTTTTATCTTGTGTAGAGATATTTGCAGCTATTTGTATTCTAGGCAAGTCACTATATCTGGCTTATGTCCTCAACAGGTATCACCGCGACGTCATCACCTGCGTGTCGCACTTCAACGCTGAGACACAAGTCCGTCTCGACTACATCAATATCTGCCTCTCTTACCCTTATGTAGAAGAGAATGGCTCCAGGAGGTATATACTCTTCTACCGCTGGATATCTTGGTCGCTCCTCGTCTTAGCTGGAGTATATTACATCCCACGAAAGGTATCCAAGAACTTCGACAACGCGAGGTGTAAGAAACTGCTGGAAGACCTTGCTGCCAACGCTCACAGATATGACCAAGCAGAGAGAGAGTTGGTGGAGAGAGCAGCAAGATATATCATCTTTAACCTCAAGACTCACGACGGCCTCTACTGGAAATATCTCGGAGTCAATGTCCTGGCGTTGGCTGTTGACCTTTTTGCTATGCAGTACATGGACTTCATTCTTCAGGGACGGTTTATTCAGTACGGTTTCAAGGCCTACCCATTCGACAGAGATCCACAGACATTCACTGATTACATGTCTCAAACATTCCCTCCATTTGCCTCTTGTGAACTTACTAGCAAAAACCAGTTGGTAAACAAACGTTCTGAGACGTTTGGTTGTCACCTCACCATCATGGAGCTGTACGAGAAGGTGTTCTTGTTACTGTGGGTGTGGTTGATCATCCTGACCTTCATCACCTGCTGCTACATCATCTTCCTCCTCTTCATGTGGCTTCCATGCCTGCGAATTTACCTTCTACGCACTGCCAAGCCTGCCCATGCCAACGAGAACGTTCGAAAGCTTTTGCATAATGTTTCGCAGAACTGCAAGATTGGCGACATTTATCTTCTGTATCGTGTGAAGGGCCACCTTAGTCATGCCAGGTTCTACGAGCTGATGACAAGACTGGCAGATCCTTCTTTGTATAAAAAGCAGATTCAGCAGGGCCCACCTGGAGCACTTCCAGATGGCAAGGAAAAGATGCCACCAAACACGCAGGCCGATACCCTGAGGAATCGTCGTCCAAACATGCCCCAAAACCCACCAGTGAACCCTGAGTACCTGCATCAGCTCCTGGCTGGCAACCCGGAGATGATGGGCAAACACCCACAGCATCCTACCCAGCATAACCCATCGTTAAAGACGAACACCAGCATTCTCATCGACTAGACATATAATCCACAAGTCACTAATGTGCTAAAGTTGTCACGGGTTAATTAAATGTCAGATGACAGGCAGTGTCAGGGTTGGTGTTGTCCCCACACAATACTCCTGAACCGTGAGGTGTTATGACATACCCTCCAGGGGAACTTTGAGGTGTTATGACATGCTCTCCAGGGGGAACTTTGAGGTGTTATGACATGCTCTCCAGGGGGAACTTTGAGGTGTTTTGACATGCCCTCCAGGGGAACTTTGAGGTGTTATGACATGCTCTCCAGGGGAACTTTGAGGTGTTATGACATGCTCTCCAGGGGAACTTTGAGGTGTTATGACATGCTCTCCAGGGGAACTTTGAGGTGTTTTGACATGCCCTCCAGGGAGAACTTTGAGGTGTTATGACATGGCCACCCTGGGAATCTTGAGATGTTATGACGTGCCCACCCGGGGAACTTGAAACTTGTGATCCGGTTGATTACCTCTGGTGTTTCAGAGTCTAACGTTCTGATATCACTGTTGTGTCAATGGGAGAATGATGTTCAGCTTTATTGCTCACTATTTTAATAAAATAGGCAATAACACTTTTGGAAAATAATTCACAAAATCAGAGTAAATGGGACCCAAGTGCCGCACAACTGTTGCTAGTTATCTCTTTGTATTATATATATTTGAACATTAGGATATCACCAGCACATACAACCTTTTAGTTGGTGACGTGGGCGATCGTTTCCCGCTCAGCAACAGAAACAAGAGCAATTGTTTCGAGCAATAAACATAAGTATATTCCCGTTTCAATTTTTTGTGTGTATCTGTACACAAGATGAAACAAAAATCGGTTTCCATTACAGTAATTAATGTGTTTGTAAGACATTTTATAACGACGCAACTCAACTTTATATTTACAAACAAAATCACTTGAATGTAAAACCTATTTTTTGAGAGGTAAAGCATAAAAAAAACAGAATCTCTGACCATTTACAGCGAACTTGATATTCTCTGTTTAACATTTTTACATATTATATATATATATATATATATATATATATATATATATATATATATATATATATATATATATATATATATATATATATATATATATATATGTCAAAAGTGATGACTATGCGAGTAGAAACACACATTCGCGTGCGTTTATTTCTCAAATTGTCTCACCTTGCAGGCATTAAGTGATAAATTGCACAATCAGCCAATTTGGGAAGTCTCTGCGATCGCATCCAGCAGGAGGCTACTCCGGGAGTATGTGTGTGTGTGTGTGTGTGTGTGTGTGTGTGTGTGTGTGTGTGTGTGTGTGTGTGTGTGTGTGTGTGTGTACTCACCTAGTTGTGTTTGCGGGGGTTGAGCTCTGGCTCTTTGGTCCCGCCTCTCAACCGTCAATCAACAGGTGTACAGGTTCCTGAGCCTACTGGGCTCTATCATATCTACATTTAAAACTGTGTATGGAGTCAGCCTCCACCACATCACTGCCTAATGCATTCCATCTGTGTGTGTGTGTGTGTGTGTGTGTGTGTGTGTGTGTGTGTGTGTGTGTGTGTGTGTGTGTGTGTGTGGAGGGGGGGTGAGTGTAAGAGGTCGTTAGTAGTCTTAGCACCCTTGTCAATAGTCCTAGCACCTTCCCCCTTGTCAATAGTCCTAGCACCTCCCTCGACTCTGCCTCCACACATTCCAGCTACATGATTGGTGAGCTTCCAGGGCCTTGCATCTTGGTCTGCTGCCATAACTGAGACGCAGTGAATCCTGCAACTTCCTGAGATGGTGTACGATGCAGCTTCTGTTCGTTTTCTTAGTATGCTCTAGTATTTTAAAGAATTTAATGGAAAAACCTTTTGTAACTATACCTTCATGATGTAGTTAAGTTGGTCACTACTTATCACTTATCTTTATCAGTTTGTGTCATGCTCAATTTGCCTTTCTTTATCTCTCGTGTTTATAATTAACTATTTGTAATTTAAAATAAAAAAAAATTCAGTTTAGCTGTAATCCTCAAGACGCTTGTGTTAAAGTATGCCTTAGACAACTGGAAACTAGTTTTCATAAGTGTTTAAGTGCCTTAACACACTCCATCAACATCAATTATAAAGCTGTGATATTTCCACTAGGTTTAAGTGATATTTTAAAACTGGGTTCTGATGTAATTATTATTGTTCTCTTGAGCTCAGTAAATGCCAAATGTTACTATGTGTGGCATTTCCTAACATGCACTGTTTACACTACTTAGAAAACTCTCTTTCCGACAAAATAAAGTACACTTTTTAATTTAGTTTTTGTTTCATTTTAAAAATCATAAAAACAAATAGTAGTTTCAATTCAACAACAATGGAAAACTTCAAGAAGGTGAGCATCGCTGCGTTGGTGTTGTGTATTGTGGTGCAGGCCGGGTGTTGGTATCTTCGGTTTAAGGTGGACATGCTGCAGGAGACGTGGACGGGCGCCTTCAAGGCCTTGCTGCTGGGAGGGTCACCCTCCAACTGGAGTGTGTGGAAACGTCTGTGGTACAGTCTGCCGCTGGTAGGTACTGTGCCGCAGGCCTGGGAGTTGCATTACAGGAGACGGCTGCTGCAGGACAACACAATTTTCTACACCGGGTTGATCTATGGCCACTTCCGTATTAAGGTGCCCGTGGTATTGGCCATCCTCGTGGCGGCCGTGATCGCCCTGACGGGGGTCATCGTCTTGTACAGGACGCTGCTCTCAGCGTTCCGCCCATCGAAGCCGCTTTCCCGCAGTCTCGCAAACTTGGACGACTCGTCCGGGAGCCTGCGGATCGTGAAGGACCTCTCCTCCAGCCTACGGATCGTGAAGGACTTCTCCTCCAGCCTACGGATCGTGAAGGACCTCTCCCGCAGCTTGTGGATCGTGGCGGATCCATCCCACAGCCTACAGATCGTGAAGGACCTCTCCTCCAGCCTACGGATCGTGAAGGACTTCTCCTCCAGCCTACGGATCGTGAAGGACTTCTCCCGCAGCTTGTGGATCATGGCAGACCCATCCCACAGCCTGCAGATCGTGGAGGACCCATCCCACAACCTTCAGATCGTGGAGGATCCATCCCACAACCTTCAGATCGTGGAGGACCCATCCCACAACCTTCAGATCGTGGAGGACCCCTCCCAGAGCCCGCGGATCGGCCTGTCCCAAAGGCTGTGGGACATGGCAATGACCTTTATGGTGCTCCTGGGGGTGTCGTGCAACTACTGGCTGCTGCTGGCCCTGAACTCCTGCCGCAGGTGGGGCCGCGGCCTGGTGGACGCCCTCAAGACCCTCTTCCTGCCGCAGGGCTCGCTCCTCGATCTCAAGACAGCCCTCCAGCACCACTGGGTGGGTGGCCCTCTACCCTCGCCTGACCCATCTAAGAGCTACCGACCCGTCTACATGGTTGGTTATTTTCTGAAGTCGAATAGGGAAACAAGAGACACGGAGGAGGAGGAGAAGCAGAAGGAGAAGGAAGCAAAGCAGAAGGAGAAAGAAGCGAAGAAGAAGGAGAAAGAAGCGAAGAAGAAGGAGAAAGAAGCGAAGAAGAAGGAGAAAGAAGCTAAGAAGAAGGAGGATAAAGAAGCGAAAAAGGAGGAGAAAGAGGTGAAGAAGGAGGAGGAGAAGGAAGCGAAGAAGGAGGAGAAGGAAGCAAAGAAGGAGGAGAAGGAAGCAAAGAAGGAGGAGAAGGAAGCAAAGAAGGAGGAGAAGGAAGCAAAGAAGGAGGAGGAGAAGGAAGCAAAGAAGGAGGAGAAGGAAGCAAAGAAGGAGGAGAAGGAAGCAAAGAAGGAGGAGAAGGAAGCAAAGAAGGAGGAGGAGAAGGAAGCAAAGAAGGAGGAGAAGGAAGCAAAGAAGGAGGAGAAGGAAGCAAAGAAGGAGGAGAAGGAAGCAAAGAAGGAGGAGAAAGAAGCCAAGGAGGAAGAAAAGAAAGTAGGCGAAGGGAAAGAGAGAACAGAGGAAAGAAAAGGATGGCTACAGAGGGTTCTGCGGGGAATAGCGAGGTTCCTGGGCAAGGTACTGCTGCACTTGCTGATAATAGTATTGGGAACTGCCGGTCTGGCCTGCCTGGTGGTCACAACAGCGCTCGCGGCACCATTCTTCTTCCTGGGCTATCTCTTGCATCCCCTCACACCACTCCTCAGTGAAATGACACTCATCCTCTTCTGCCTCATCCTGGCTGCCTGCTTCGTCCTACTCTTCCCGCTCTCTGCTGTAGTATGCATGCTGTACCGTACGCTCTACCCAGAGCAGTATATGGAGCAGTATATTACGTGTTTGGTGGAGTTCGAAAAGTTTCAACAGCTCGCAGACCAACACGGCTGGGAAGAAGGAATGAAACTCTACTTAGAGGAATCAAGGCAGGACCGTCCCTGAGTGCACACGCACTTCCAGCTCTAGGGACAAGGCTCGTGAGACGCAAGATGCACCATGAACCTCCTGGTGCTTGAGTCACAGTGACAGCGACAGTTTGCGGGTCTTTCGCTCGCGTGGTGATTGCAGGCCCCTTCGCTCGCGCTCTCTTTGCGGGCCCTCCCATTCCGCCCGCGCACTCTTTGCGGGCCCTCCCTTTCCGCCCGCGCACTCTTTGCGGGCCCTACCTTTCCGCCCGCGCACTCTTTGTGGGCCCTCCGTTTCCGCCCGCGCACTCTTTGTGGGCCCTCCGTTTCCGCCCGCGCACTCTTTGCGGGCCCGCGTACTCTTTGTGGGCCCTCCCTTTCCGCCCGCGCATTCTTTGTGGGCCCTCCCTTTCCGCCCGCGCACTCTTTGTGGGCCCTCCGTTTCCGCCCGCGCACTCTTTGTGGGCCCTCCGTTTCCGCCCGCGCACTCTTTGTGGGCCCTCCGTTTCCGCCCGCGCACTCTTTGTGGGCCCTCCGTTTCCGCCCGCGCACTCTTTGTGGGTCCTCCCTTTCCGCCCGCGAACTCTTTGTGGGCCCTCCGTTTCCGCCCGCGCACTCTTTGTGGGCCCTCCGTTTCCGCCCGCGCACTCTTTGTGGGCCCTCCCTTTCCGCCCGCGCACTCTTTGTGGGCCCTCCGTTTCCGCCCGCGCACTCTTTGTGGGCCCTCCGTTTCCGCCCGCGCACTCTTTGTGGGTCCTCCCTTTCCGCCCGCGAACTCTTTGTGGGCCCTCCGTTTCCGCCCGCGCACTCTTTGTGGGCCCTCCGTTTCCGCCCGCGCACTCTTTGTGGGCCCTCCGTTTCCGCCCGCGCACTCTTTGTGGGCCCTCCGTTTCCGCCCGCGCACTCTTTGTGGGTCCTCCCTTTCCGCCCGCGAACTCTTTGTGGGCCCTCCGTTTCCGCCCGCGCACTCTTTGCGGGCCCTCCGTTTCCGCCCGCGCACTCTTTGCGGGCCCTCCGTTTCCGCCCGCGCACTCTTTGCGGGCCCTCCGTTTCCGCCCGCGCACTCTTTGTGGGCCCTCCGTTTCCGCCCGCGCACTCTTTGTGGGCCCTCCGTTTCCGCCCGCGCACTCTTTGTGGGCCCTCCGTTTCCGCCCGCGCACTCTTTGTGGGCCCTCCGTTTCCGCCCGCGCACTCTTTGTGGGTCCTCCCTTTCCGCCCGCGAACTCTTTGTGGGCCCTCCGTTTCCGCCCGCGCACTCTTTGCGGGCCCTTCGCTCGCGCTCTGTTTGTGGGCCCTTCGTTCGCGCTCTCGATCATTGCGGACCCTTCGCTCGCGCTCTGTTTGCGGGCCCTTCGCTCGCGCTCTGTTTGCGGGCCCTTCGCTCGCGCTCTGTTTGCGGGCCCTTCGCTCGCGCTCTGTTTGCGGGCCCTTCGCTAGTGCTCTCGATCATTGCGGGCTCTTCGTTCGCGCTCTCGATCATTGCGGGCTCTTCGTTCGCGCTCTCGATCATTGCGGACCCTTCGCTCGCGCTCTCGATCATTGCGGGCTCTTCGTTCGCGCTCTGGATCATTGCGGACCCTTCGCTCGCGCTCTCGATCATTGCAGGCCCTTCACTCGCGCTCTGTTTGCGGGCCCTTCGCTCGCGCTCTGTTTGCGGGCCCTTCGCTAGTGCTCTCGATCATTGCGGGCCCTTTGCTCGCGCTCTCGATCATTGCGGGCTCTTCGTTCGCGCTCTCGATCATTGCGGACCCTTCGCTCGCGCTCTCGATCATTGTAGGCCCTTCACTCGCGCTCTGTTTGCGGGCCCTTCGCTCGCGCTCTGTTTGCGGGCCCTTCGCTCGCGCTCTGTTTGCGGGCCCTTCGCTAGTGCTCTCGATCATTGCGGGCCCTTCGCTAGTGCTCTCGATCATTGCGGGCTCTTCGTTCGCGCTCTCGATCATTGCGGGCTCTTCGTTCGCGCTCTCGATCATTGCGGGCTCTTCGTTCGCGCTCTCGATCATTGCGGACCCTTCGCTCGCGCTCTGTTTGCGGGCCCTTCGCTAGTGCTCTCGATCATTGCGGGCTCTTCGTTCGCGCTCTCGATCATTGCAGGCCCTTCGCTCGCTCTCTGTTTGCGGGCCCTTCGCTAGTGCTCTCGATCATTGCGGGCTCTTCGTTCGCGCTCTCGATCATTGCGGACCCTTCGCTCGTGCTCTCGATCATTGCAGGCCCTTCGCTCGCGCTCTGTTTGCGGGCCCTTCGCTCGCGCTCTGTTTGCGGGCCCTTCGCTCGCGCTCTGTTTGCGGGCCCTTCGCTCGCGCTCTGTTTGCGGGCCCTTCGCTCGCGCTCTGTTTGCGGGCCCTTCGCTCGCGCTCTGTTTGCGGGCCCTTCGCTCGCGCTCTGTTTGCGGGCCCTTCGCTCGCGCTCTGTTTGCGGGCCCTTCGCTAGTGCTCTCGATCATTGCGGGCTCTTCGTTCGCGCTCTCGATCATTGCGGGCCCTTCGCTCGCGCTGTTTGCGGGCTCTTCGTTCGCGCTCTCGATCATTGCGGGCTCTTCGTTCGCGCTCTCGATCATTGCGGGCTCTTCGTTCGCGCTCTCGATCATTGCGGGCTCTTCGTTCGCGCTCTCGATCATTGCGGACCCTTCGCTCGCGCTCTCGATCATTGCAGGCCCTTCGCTCGCGCTCTGTTTGCGGGCCCTTCGCTCGCGCGCTGTTTGCGGGCCCTTCGCTCGCGCTCTGTTTGCGGGCCCTTCGCTCGCGCTCTGTTTGCGGGCCCTTCGCTCGCGCTCTGTTTGCCGGCCCTTCGCTCGCGCTCTGTTTGCGGGCCCTTCGCTCGCGCTCTCGATCATTGCGGGCCCTTCGCTCGCGCTCTGTTTGCGGGCCCTTCGCTCGCGCTCTGTTTGCGGGCCCTTCGCTCGCGCTCTGTTTGCGGGCCCTTCGCTCGCGCTCTGTTTGCGGGCCCTTCGCTCGCGCTCTGTTTGCGGGCCCTTCGCTCGCGCTCTGTTTGCGGGCCCTTCGCTCGCGCTCTGTTTGCGGGCCCTTCGCTCGCGCTCTGTTTGCGGGCCCTTCGCTCGCGCTCTGTTTGCGGGCCCTTCGCTCGCGCTCTGTTTGCGGGCCCTTCGCTCGCGCTCTGTTTGCGGGCCCTTCGCTCGCGCTCTGTTTGCGGGCCCTTCGCTCGCGCTCTGTTTGCGGGCCCTTCGCTCGCGCTCTGTTTGCGGGCCCTTCGCTCGCGCTCTGTTTGCGGGCCCTTCGCTCGCGCTCTGTTTGCGGGCCCTTCGCTCGCGCTCTGTTTGCGGGCCCTTCGCTCGCGCTCTGTTTGCGGGCCCTTCGCTCGCGCTCTCGAACATTGCGCGCCCTTCGCTCGCGCTCTCGATCATTGCGAGCCCTTCGCTCGCGCTCTCGATCATTGCGAGCCCTTCGCTCGCGCTCTCGATCATTGCGGGCCCTTCGCTCGCGCTCTCCTTGCGGGCCCTTCGCTCGCGCTCTCCTTGCGGGCCCTTCGCTCGCGCTCTCCTTGCGGGCCCTTCGCTCGCGCTCTCCTTGCGGGCCCTTCGCTCGCTCTCTCTTTGTGATGATCATTTACTTTGCTTTTCATATATTTTTTTTTGCACAGTGTTTAAATTTTTTTTAACGTGACAATTTTGTTTCTTAAACAAATTTAATCTTTAGAGGAGATTGTTACGCAAAATAGTTGTCGATAGCTTCATATAGCTAACACTATGTAAGTATTTATATAACATAACTATGTTTCCGAAGCTGGGCAGAATGTATATAAAAAACAAACTTTAGCAGAAAGCAGACCTAACAATGGGAGGTGGACCGGTAATGAAACGAGACTCGCGCCCTTATAACTAGAGACTGAGATGTATTTTGAATCTACTGAGATGTAGATGCAAAATACAATTTTTTTTGTTCTGTAGCAAGTAGTTTATATCCACTTGTAAACCTCTGTCATGTCGGCTCTAACTCTTCGCCTTTCCAGTGAATGCAGTTTAAGCTTTGTTAATCTTTCTTCATATGAAAGGTTTCTAATTTGGGGAATTAACATGCTATCCTCCCCCGTGATAGCATGCCTGACGATTTAAACGCGACCTTAGTATACATTCACTAAAAATACAAAATAAAATCTACCACTTGTGGGCTATTCATGCCAGTGAATAGCCACCTGGTTGGCTTAACATTAATCAATCAATCACCTTTGATAATTATGTATTAGAGTGTCAACTTATTAATAATTATAGAAATAAGGAAATAAGTAGTGTACCATCGGTTTGTCTAATTACCCAAATCTACCCAAATTTACTCAAAGCTACCCAAAGCTTCCTTGCATTACGTAAGTAATGAAGAAATATGATATATTTACTCACTATATTGTTGGTGTTGAATGTAGAACACTAAAAAACATTTTTTACTCTGAAATAATACGCATTGATAATGAAATTAGACGAAAAAAAAAACTAAGTGGCATGAGAGGCCATAGGAAGTCGATGATCCAAGCGACAATGTTATGGAGCAAGATGAACTTATCCAAGATGAACAAAATTATTCAAGATATATTGTTGCCTAGAGGTTATATTAAGTTATGTTTGAATAGGTTACGTTTAGTTAGGTTATGTTATGTTTGGGTAAGTTGCGTAGGTTAGGTAGGTACAGGAGGTTCATATCACCAGCAAACATTGTCGCTTGGACCGTCAACTTCCTTTGGCGTCACCAGCTTCTTATTTTCGTCTAATTTCGTTATAAAATAATACTTTTTTAGAGTAAAATTATTGACCAGACCATACACTAGAAAGTGAAAGGACGACGACGTTTCGGTTCATTCTGGACCATTCTCTAGTCGATTGTCTTGAGAATGGTCCAGGACGGACCAAAACGTCGTCGTCCCTGCAGTTTCTAGTGTGTGGTCTGGTCAATATTTTTCAGCCACGTTATTGTGACTCCTCGTATTCGTTTGCCTTGTTCGGGTTGAATGTAGACACAGTAGTCGCTTCTGTATATATTTATTGACCGAGACAACAAGGTATATATCTGGCCAGCCGAGGTCCACCTACTTAGGGGGATATTAATAGGGTATTAAAAGTATCAACACAGGACAGAACACGAAACAATGGGTATAAATTGGATAAGTTTAGATTTAGGAAAGACTTGGGTAAATACTGGTTCAGTAACAGGGTTGTTGATTTGTGGAACCAATTGCCGCGTAACATTGTGGAGGTGGGGTCCCTCGATTGTTTCAAGCACGGGTTGGACAAGTATATGAGTGGGATTGGGTGGTTATAGAATAGGAGCTGCCTCGTATGGGCCAATAGGCCTTCTGCAGTTACCTTTGTTCTTATGTTCTTATGTTCTTATGTACTCTGAGTCTGTGAGGGTAACTGAGGCTGCTGGGAGCATGCTGATGCTCCTCTGTCTGGCATGACGTCAGAGGCCTACTTGCCTGTGATTGGTTATATTCCAACTGACATAGAATTTGAGTATAACACTCGTCTTCAGAGTAAAAATATGTTTTTCATGTTCTACATTCAGCACAAACATTATAATGAATAAATATATAAATAAATAAATAAATAAATATAAATATGTTTATTCAGGTAAGGTACATACATACAAGTGATGTTACATTAATGGATCGATATATAGATAGAGCTAGTACATACAATGCCTAAAGCCACTATTACGCAATGCGTTTCGGGCTGGAAATCATATTTATTCATTGCTAAAGTAATACCAGGAAGCTTTGTGTAGCTTTGAGTAAGTTTGGGTAGCTTTGGGTAATTAGACGGACAGGTATACCACATCAAATTGTTCGGTTGTGAGATAATGGTATGATAGACAGAATACTTAGGAGCTACAAACATTTTGCCCCAAGAGTGTAACACTTATATGCTGTGCTTACCATAGAATTAGAGTATAACACTCGTCTTCAGAGTAAAAATATGTTTTTCATGTTCTACATTCAGCACAAACATTATAATGAATAAATATATAAATATAAATAAATAAATATAAATATGTTTATTCAGGTAAGGTACATACATACAAGTGATGTTACATTAATGGATCGATATATAGATAGAGCTAGTACACACAATGCCTAAAGCCACTATTACGCAATGCGTTTCGGGCTGGCAATCATATTTATTCATTGCTAACGTAATACCAGGAAGCTTTGTGTAGCTTTGAGTAAGTTTGGGTTAATTCCCCAAATTATATTAAACAGCAATGTTATATGTGATTCTTGTACTGTAATTTGTGGATTTGTACTCATTGGATTTGTGCGCCCCTTGAGGGACTTGAAATTGAATTGAAATTGAAATTGAAATAAGTTTATTGAGGTAAAATAAACACAAAGGAATGAGGTAGCTTAAACTATTCTCACCCCGTTCAGTACAACGTGTTTATACATACATAGACACCCCGCAAATAAACATATTACCGAACATTCCGAGTGATAAACATATACATTTCTTCCTTTACACATGTAATATGTTACCAGATGTACACACAAATACTTTTATGATCAGGTATATAGACAATTTGCAATGGACATTCAGACAGTTCAATAAAAGGTTACAATCTTGGTGAGGGGCTTGAAGTAGAGGAGGGTAGAAATAGCCTAAGCTACTCTATCGATTGATTGATTAAGATTAAGCCACCCAAGCGGTGGCACGGGCATGAATAGCCCGTAACTACTCCATCCCTTTGAGATATATTTTATTGTCTCACTTAACGTACTTGAACTTGAAAATTTTACTTTAAATATAGGGAGGGTGATTGATTGATTGATGAAGATTAAGCCACCCAAAAGGTGGCACAGGCATGAATAGCCCGTAAGTGGTGGCCCTTTTGAGCCATTACCAATATCATTAGCTAATACTGGAGATCTGTCGAGGTGCCTCCCGTCTGCCTCTCATTAGTCTAATCGCCAAAGCTTCATTTATCTCAGAAATTCTATCCCCAATACTATGTAAGTTCAATCATATCATCATTATCTCAGTAATGGTATTTCTTGGGCCATGAGAATAATCTTGGGATTATTCTTATGGCTTCATTTTGTATCATCTCCAACTTTAGTCTACCTATATAAAAACAATGCATGACAGGGGCAGCATAATCAATAAGAGATCTCACAGTATGTCACGCTATTACCATTGGAATGTGAAATGTAGAATATGATTAATAATTGTGTGCTGTATGTGTTTGTGAGCCTGTGTTGTTTGTTGTTTTAGATTTAGCTACTTAGAACGAAGTGTCCATGTAGCACGGGCTATGGTGAGCCCGTAAGTAAAACATACATCAGAATATAAGAACATAAGAATATAGGTAACTGCAGAAGGGCCATTGGCCAATACGAGGCAGCTTCTATATATAACCACCAAATCCCACTCATATACATGTCCAACCCCACGCTTGAAACAATCCGGGAGACATCTCCCGTCACGCAGGGTGCAGTCGCACCTCCACAGATCTCCAGTATCAGCTCTTAATACTGGTAATGGCTCAAAAGGGCCACCACTTACCGGCTATTCATGCCCGTGCCACCACCTCTTGGGTGGCTTAATCTTCAATCAATCATCAATCATTTGAAACAATCGAGGGACCCCCACCTCCACCACGTTACGCGGTAATTGGTTCCACAAATCAACAACCCTGTTACCGAACCAGTATTTACCCAAGTCTTTCCTAAATCTAAACTTATCCAATTTATACCCATTGTCTCATGTTCTGTGTTGTGTTGATAATTTTAATACCCTATTAATATCCCCTTTGTTATGTCCATTCATCCACTTGTAAACCTCTATCATGTCTCCCTTACTCTTCGTCTTTCCAGTGAATGCAATTTAAGCTTTGTTAATCTTTCTTCATATGACAAATTTCTAATTTGGGAATTAAATTTGTCATCCTACGCTTGACACGTTCAAGTGAATTTATATCCATTCTATAGTACGGTGACCAAAGCTGAACTGTATAATCTAAATGGGGCCTAACCAGAGCAAGATATAGCTGAAGAACCACACCAGGTGTCTTGTTGCTAACGCTTCGATTAATAAATCCAAGTGTCCTATTTGCCTTATTACAAACATTGTTTTTTATTACAATCCTTTGTTTTTAAATTCTTACTAATCATAACTCCCAGATCCATTTCGCAATCCGACTTCGCAATCTCAACACCATCTAGCTCGTATCTTGTAACTCTATCATCATTACCTAGCCTCAAAACTTTACATTTATCAGCATTAAACTGCGTCTGCCAATCTTTTGACCATTTCAAAACCAATGACTTTTTGACAATTACACCAATGACAATTACAGTTTTTATGACTGTAAGGTCAAGGGACATTATGAGACTGTTGTTTTCAGTGGGTCAAGGTAAACAAGATCATTAGCTTTTCTCGGAAGGTCAAGGAAGATTGTAAGGTCATTAGCTGTACTGAGAGGGTCAAAACTCTCAAACATGGCAAATGAATTAAAATCAGCGGAAATAGTTAAAAGGTTGCAGGCGATGAGTCACAATAACGTGGCTGAAGTATGTTGACCAGACCACACACTAGAAATTGAAGGGACGACGACGTTTCGGT